CGCAGGCGGAGGCGCAGATGGCGGGGATGGCCAGGGTGGCCACAGCTTCCCCGGGGGCGCGGACACAGCTGCAGCTCCGGCCAGTGGAGCTCCCCCACCGCACGCGCCAGGTCCCGGCAGAGACGCCGCGTCTGCGGCCAGGGGGCCAGGAATGCGGCCGCACATATTGTGTCCTTTCCGAGGGGAGGCCAAGGAACGGTCTGGGGGCTGCTTGCGGCGGGGCGAGGGCAGGACTCCGGGAGAAAGAAAGGAGGGCGGGGCGGGGCGGGGCGGGGGCCGACGGAAAGGGAAGCAGGGGGACCAGGGGCTGGGGTATACGGTCAGGGGTGGTTGGAGGAGGGGAAGAAATTGAAATGGAGGAAGAGAAGCTCTGCCAACGGTGGCCTGGGCGAGGTAAGGAGTGAAGCGGGTGATGCTGGGCAGGGTGACCTGAGAGGGGGCTTCAGAGGAGCAAGAAGGCCTGAGACATAGGCAAAGTCGTATCAGATGGCACCTTAACCGAATGACTCCCAGCACCCTCAGCGTGCCTTTCCCAACCCCCTTGGAGGCGGAAATCGCCCATGGGTCCCTGGCTCCAGATGCCGAGCCCCACCAAAGGGTGGTTGGGAAGGAGCTCACAGTGAGCGGCAGGATCCTGGCCATGTAAGTTCTGAAGGGGACCGGGGTTGGGGTAGGCGGCCGACGGAGACATGGGGAACACCCAAGGATGAGCCCTAAGGAGCGCCAGGTGCGCTGGGCTGGTCTCTGCCTGAGGGGCTGTGTAATGACAGGGCTCCCAAGGGTTTGCTGTAATGGGTGCCTGAGGGGCAGAGCGAGGGACCAGGAGTTGCTACCTCCAATTTGATTTTCTTTTCCCCTTTTAGCCGCTGGAAAGCTGAAGACTGCCGCCTGCTCCGAATTTCCGTCATCAACTTTCTCGACCAGCTTTCCCTGGTGGTGCGGACCATGCAGCGCTTCGGGCCCCCAGTTTCCCGCTAAGCCTGGCCTGGGAAAATGGGGCGAGGTCTCACTTTACCTCTCCTCCTAGGCAGTGCATCATCCATCCTTCCCTAGGGCAGGAATTCCCAGTTGCTACTTTCTTGTGAGGGCCTCATGGTCGGCTTGTACTGGCCTTTGGGTGCTCAGGGGCCCTTTGTTTTATCTGGTTCTTAAATGTTTGTTACTACAGAAAATAAAACTGAGCTACTATTCCAAGTCTGAGTTTATTTTCAGCTGCAGCACCTCCCAATATTCTTGTCGTTGTGCTTGGGTTGCAGGGGAGGTTCCAGAATTCAGATACTCAAGGAGTACGAGGAAATTGAAGACAATTTAGGAAATGGAAGAAAATGAAAATCAATTGGGTTCTGTCATTCGGGATTAACTACTGTCAACATTTTGGAATACTTCCTCAGTTTTACAGTTGCATTTACGTAGTAAATGTGTAACTAATATACACCACATAATATTTGCAAGTTTAGTGTCAAATTTTTTTTCCTTATTTTCAAATCTAACATGAGCTGTTTTCCTGTAACGATCAGTGAAGAAAGTGCTGGGGCAATTGACTAGTGTCTGGGGCAAGGATTTGGCTCCCTGGAAAATACAGTGTCTCCAGCCTTGCTAAACTCAGTCTTAGGGCTCTTTCATAGATTCTATCAGATTTTCTGAGTGGAAAGGAAGAAGTACAACTGCTTTTATTCTCAGAAAACATGGAAATGGTTTGATCCTTTTGAATCTTGTTTTGAAGATGTGCTGTGTGGGACCAGAGCAGCTCTTAGTGTAGGCTTCAGTTTCCCTCTACGGAAGCAACAAACACCATTCTGGGCACCCTGGCCAATGCTCCCTAGGTGAACATGAGCTTCTCTATCCTGGTGGATGGGGAAAGCTGCTAGTCCCTGTCCTGCTTGCACACTGGAGTTACCATTCATCCTCTCCTGCTGGGGTGATGGCCTTCCCTGGCCTTGGGTAGCTTCCTCATGTGCCTGTGCTCACCAGTAGTCGTAGTCTGCTCAATACTGGAGCAGGAGCCTCTGTGGATATCCAGGGTTCTTTCCCCGTGCAGCTCTCTTCTCTCTGGTTCTCTGCCCTGCAAACACCAGCTGCTGGGATTCTCTGAATCAGAGTTTCAACTCCTAAAGTCCGAGTGTCTGCCAGGCTCCACCAGGAAACTCCACACATGACACTGGGCCAGCCGCATGACTTACCTTGTTTCCCAGTTCACACACCTCACTGTCCCTCACTGGCCCACAGCCAGTTTCTTTACACTCTGCAGTCCATATATTTTGTCTGGTTTGGGGGGTTCTTTCATGTGGCAGGACATATTCAGTCCCTATTACTCCATATGGAGGAACAGTTTCCCTTTGTAGAATCTGGGGAGCTCTGCCAGTGGTGACGTTGGCACTGGTCTTCAGCTTATGAAGATGACACTTTCCTCTCTCCCTTTCTTCCTTTCTTAATACTTTTTAGACTAATTATTGATGAATAGTTGACAGTATAGATCTTTCACTTTTTTTTTTTTTTTTTTGAGCCGGAGTTTCACTCTTGTTTCCCAGGCTGGAGTACAATGGTGCGATCTCGGCTCACCGCAACCTCTGCTTCCCGGGTTCAAGCAATTCCCCTGCCTCAGCCTCCCAAGTAGCTGAGATTACAGGCATGCACCACCATGCCCAGCTAATTTTGTATTTTTAGTAGAGACGGGGTTTCAACATGTTGGTCAGGCTGGTCTCGAACTCCTGACCTCAGGTGGTCCACTGGCCTCGGCCTCCCAAAGTGCTGGGATTACAGGCATGAGCCACCACGCCCAGCCAATCTTTTTTTTTTTTTTTTTTTTTGATACAGGGTCTGGCTGTCACCTAGGCTGGCACAATCATGGCTCACTGCAGCCTTGTTCCCCCAGGCTCAAGCAATCCTCCCACCTCAGCCTCCTGAGTAACTGGGACCACAGGCATGCGCCACTACGCCAGGCTCATGTTTTATTTTTTGTAGAGAGAGGGTCTCGCTATGTTGCCCAAGCTGGTCCTGAACTCCTGGGCTCAAGTGATCTTCCCGCCTGGGCCTCCAAAAGTGCTGGGATCACAAGTGTGAGCCACCACACCTGGCCCCAATTTAGTTCTGTTCCCCTTCCTCTTCCTCTCATGATGCTTCTGTTAGATTCCATTAATTTCTGAAGGATTTCCCCTGAGGTTAAAAACTGTCTTGTTTTCCTGTGGCTTAGTTGTTATTATCATATGATGGTAATATTTTCAACCATCTCCCTTACCTCTGTCCCCTGTCCAGATGGTTCTGTCTGGGCCAATGGCACAGCTGTCATCCCACAACTTCTCTTTATCCTGGGCTACAATCCAGTCCTGCCTCACACGTCCATCTCTTTATTATTTTACTCCTTATTTGTGCAGTTGGTTGTTACGTGGACGTGTCTAGTTTTGGTAAATACCTACAGTCCTGTAACCACCACCACTGTCTGGCACTGTGGCCCCATAGCTGGACAGCTGGAACTGGCAGCTTTTAAACCCAACTCAGGTGGCCTCCAAGCTGTCCAAGTCACCCTATTTAAAATTGCATCTCACTTGGCTGGGCACAGTTGCTCACAACTGTAATCCCAGCATTTTGGGAGGCCAAGGCAGGAGGATCACTTGAGCCCAGGAATTCAAGACCAGCAAGACTCCATCTCTACTAAAGAAAAAAAAAAAAAAAAACAGCTGGGTATGGTGGCAAGCACTTGTAATCCTAGCTACTCAGAAGGCTGAGGCAGGAGGATCACTTGAGCCCAGGACATCAAGGCTGCAGTGAGTTGATTTTGCCACTACACTCCAGCATGGGAAACAGGGCAAGATCCTGTCTCAAAAAAAAAAAAAAAAAAAAAAAAAAAAAAAAGGCCAGGCATGGTGTCTCACGCCTGTAATCCCAGCACTTTGGGGTGCCGAGGCGGGCGGATCACGAGGTCAGGAGATTGAGACCATCCTAATACAGTAAAACCCTGTCTCCACTAAAAATATAAAAAATTAGCTGGGTGTGGTGTTGGGCACCTGTAGTCCCAGTTACTCGGGAAGCTGAGGAGGAGAATGGCGTGAACCCGGGAGGTGGAGCTTGCAGTTAGCTGTGATCATGCCACTGCACTCCAGCCTGGGCAACACAGCAAAACTCCGTCAAAACAAAACAAAACAAAACAAAAAACCATAAAAAGTAAAAATAATAAGATTCCATCTCACCTGGCCAGACACAGTGGCTCATGCCTGTAATCCTAATACTTTGGGAGGCTGAGGGGTGAGGATCACTTGAGGCCAGGAATTCAAGACCAGCCTGAACAACACAGTGATACCCTATCTCTATTTAAAAAAAAAAAAAAAAAAGGGCCTGGCATAGTAGAGTGTACTTACACACCCAGCTACTCAGGAGGCTGAGGTGGGAGGATCACTTGAGCCCAGGAGTTTGAGACTGCACTGAGCTGTGATCTTCCACTGCACTCCGGCCTGGGCAACAGAGCTATACTCTGTCTCAAAAAAAAAAAAAAAAAAAAAGGTAAATTGCATGTCACCTTCCCCCCACCTGCATTACTTAACAGGCCTGGGAGTAAGACTTTGGTAGGTGCACCATGATGGGTGCCACAACCTTGACAGTACATAATTGTCAGGTTTTGAAGGAGTTGGCCACAGCTGAAACCACTGGAGGGTTCTAAACAGTGAGGCAACATGATCCACCTTATATCATAACAGGATCTCTCTGCTTCCCACGCTGAGAACAGGCTGGAGAGAGCCAGGGCAGAAGCAGGGAGACTGGCATCCAGGCAGAGATGATGGCACAGGAGAGCTGGGTAGGGCTGGTGGAAGGGAGGAGAATCTATCTATCTTGAATCTGTCTTGAAGGTAGAGCCACCGGGGTTTGCTGATGGGTCGAGCATGGCCCTGGACCTCCCCAGACCCTCTGGGACCCTGCAAGGAGTGGTCCTTTCTCCCATAATGCAGCTCTAGCTCATGCAGCATCCACAGGTCTACTGACCTGCCCCAAAGACAGAGCCCCACATGGACGACATTTTCCCAACATTTAATTAGGAAAAAACATTCCATGAACAAAGAAAAACTCATGCAACTAAGAGGAGAGAATGGGGGGTCTGGGACCGTGAGACAGGGTCAGATTCCTCAGAGGAGGCAGAAGACACGGAATAGTAAGGCACGGCCGCCTTGGCCCCTCAGGGCGGGCGCTGGACGGAGCGGGCGCTGAATGGGGCGGCTGAGTGAGTCAGAGCAGGTGCAGACAACACTGAGGACATTTGGCAGTAGGCTCAGGAGGAGCAGCATTCTGGGGCCCCTAGGCCTAAGTCAGGCCCTGGCACAAGCCTGGGTCCAGTCCTCCAGATGCTCAGCGAGAAGAGGGCCCCAAGGTGCTTGAGGGGGAGGGACCCTGTGGCCCAGTGTGGCACAGCCACAATTCTGAGGAAGCTTTGGAGACCTCACCCCAAGTGCCACTGGTACTGTGACCCTGCCTTGGAATGGGTGGGGTCAGCCATGGCAGGGTTGAGGTGCCAGAGGCCAGACCAAGGCTGATAATGCTACACAAAGGAGCCCAGACGGGTGGCAGGGCCCAGGACAGCTCAAGAACAGGCAGGTGAGTGAGGCTGGCGACATCCCGTGGGGGACACATATTTACAGATGGAGACGGAGGCGGAGTTTGATTCAATAAATAGGCAGAGGGATATAAATAGCAGGGAGGGCGGGTCTGTCCCAACACCTGGGCACAGGGCAGGAGGGTGGGGGTATTGCTGCTGCTGGGATGGGGGCTCATCCTGTCACCCCTCCCCCTGCAGGGCCCAAAGCAAGGCACTAATGAAGGGGGCCTGGGTGTGCTGGGGGCATCCTGGCCAGGGTGACCTGCTCCATGATACCCAATCCAGGGCTCAGCCCGGGGACCCACGCTCAAGCCAGCCACTCCCCTGGATGGGAGGACGGCTCAGGACTGAGAAGCCCCTCCTCACCAATTCCACCACCCTTAGCTGTCACTGGACACGAGGTTGATGATCTGTTCCAGTTTCTGCCGTAACTTATGCTTCCGACAAGAGGCATCTCGATCCAGAGCCGTGAGAATCTGGGGGAGAGGAATCCCCTGGAGCTGGGCTCTGCAAGGGGCGCAGCTCCTGCCGTGCAAAGTCCCCACTTCCCAGCTGGGCTCCTCCCTCCCACACGCCTCACCCCTCCGTCCTCCCCCGCAGCCCCTGTACAAACCCACCAGCTCTCCTCAGCCCCAAATGCCCCTCCGACAACAGCACTTTCTCCTCCTCTCCACGGCTAGGGTGCGACCTGGACTCTGGACTCGCCATGCTGGATCCCCCTCCCATTACCTCCTAGCCCAAGCCTCCCTCACCAGGCCCCCGTGACCCTTGCCAGACCCAGTGAGTGTTCTGCAGGACACCATCCTTCACCAGCAGCAGCGCTGGAAGACAGAGCTGGCCACTGCCACTCCCTGACCTGTGAGGGGTCCTCACTGGCTCAGGTTGCCAGACCCCACCAGGTGCTCTCGGGCATCCTCCCTGCTGGCTGCCGCCGCCTCCCCTCCCCTCCCCTCCACTCTTTGTGTCCTGGGGCCCTGGGCTCAGTGCTTGGGCCACTTCTCCCTCCACACCCACTTGTGGCTTCCCTGTGAGCTCATCCAGGCTCAGGGCTTTAAATGCCATCCACAGGCTTGCAAATGTGTCTGGTCCAGACTCCATCCTAAAGTCCACACCTCTATGTCCTCCTGCCTCTGGCCATTTCTCATCACAAAGCCTGGCCCATCCCTTCCAGTGCTCAGGCCCTTTAACTTTTGCCCAGTGGCCACTTTGTACCCAGCCAGTGGCTTATCTCCTGGGTCCCTCAAATTCCAGCATCTACCTGTGATCCCAGAGAGCATCACCTGTGCCGGCCCCGGGCCCTGGTCAGGGGAGAGACCGTGAACAATCTAATAGGCTCGGCCGGGCGCGGTGGCTCAAGCCTGTAATCCCAGCACTTTGGGAGGCCGAGACGGGCGGATCACGAGGTCAGGAGATCGAGACCATCCTGGCTAACACCGTGAAACCCCGTCTCTACTAAAAATACAAAAAACTAGCCGGGCGAGGTGGCGGGCGCCTGTAGTCCCAGCTACTCCGGAGGCTGAGGCAGGAGAATGGCCTAAACCCGGGAGGCGGAGCTTGCAGTGAGCTGAGATCCGGCCACTGCACTCCAGCCCGGGCTACAGAGCAAGACTCCGTCTCAAAAAAAAAAAAAAAAAAAAAAAAAAGAAATAGGCTCTGTGTCCCTTCTGTCCCCAACCCTCACCAACCCTCCTGCCTTTGTCACTGACTACACCTTCAGGACCAAGTAACTGGGAGTCTGTGGGGATGACACACACCTCCTGGCGGTACTTGGTGACATAGAAATAGAGCTCGCTGAGTGCACTCAGGACATTGAAGTCGTTGGCATGGAGGCGGGACTGCTCCACCAGGTAAGCATCCATGTCCTGGTCGCTGATGGATGCCATCTTTGCAATGTCTCGATAATACCTGTTGGGACCCTGAGTATGTCACTCGGGCGATGTCACAAAAACTAGAACCCCTGCCCTCACTGCCCGGCCAGCCCCTGGGCTTTCTCCCTGTAGCTGGCCTGCCTCGGACAGGCAGCCCAGGGAGGGGCAGGTCCTGTCCTCTGCCACCCACAGCAGGGCAGAGCCCACCTCTCCACCCAGCTCTTGTAGTTGGGGATGTCCTTGGCATAGAGTAGTTTGTTGGAGGGCGAGTCCTTCCCCAGGCGGTGCTCGGATGTGGAGCAGGAGTCCATGAAGGTCTGGGCTACCACCGACAGGCAGGCATCCGTGATGCTGTTCTTGTGGATGTCGAACACGAACTGCGGGTTCTTGATCACATTCACCCAGAAGCGCAGCGGCAGGCTGTGGACAACAGAGGGTCACACCCCTGAGGCTCCCTAGTTAGCCCGGGGGGCCCTTCCCATGTGCACATCTCTTTCCTGTCGGGCCGGCTCACATCTTGTCCAGAGGTGGTGAGAGCAACACATTTAGGGTGAACGGCCTTTCCTCAAAGTCTCAACCCCCTCCGCAGCTTCTCCTGTCACTGCTCTCACCACCAGCATCTCTACCTGGTGTGAGACCCCAGAGCACAAAGGCCCCACCACCACCATCCCACCCACCTGGGCAGCCCAGCTCCAAGACCGGACGCAATGGGCCCCTTGGCTTGATGGCACTGTCAGTGTCAGCCCCAGGCCAGGCCTCATTCCCTCCTGCCTGGATGCTACTCCAGGCCCTGGGTCTCAGCAGAGCCACCAGCATCTTTCGCCCACCCATCTCCAGACAGGTTGCTGGCAGCCCAGCACAGGGCGATACCAGTTGCTCTTCCAGGTGTGGCGCACGTCGGGGTCGCTGATCTGGCGCTGGTCGGCCTGCTCGTCCAGGAAGTCGAACATGTACTTGATGGCCAGGGGCAGGGCTGAGCCCCGGTGGGCTGTGCTGAACACTGTCTCAAAGAGGTCATCCACGAACTTCTGCAGTGTGCCCTGTGTGGGGCAGAGAGGCCACAGGCTATGAGGGAGCCAGGCTGGGATGTCCCCAGAGCAGGACAGATGGAGGCAGAAAGGTTTGGCAAAGAGCGGGGCTTCCCTACAGGGCCAGTGGCCTCTCAGATAGACCCGGCCTTGGTCTAAGGCTCAGAGTTCCCATAGCAAAGACCCTAAGAAAGGCCCACGGGACCCAAATGATCCATGGTCCCCTCCCCTGTAAGGCCGGGACAACCTCTGGGCTGAGGCCAAGGCAGAAGGCATCTAAGCATCTGTGCAGAGGCCCAGGTGGCGAGAGGCAGGCCCACACCTTGGTGGCCAGCAGCCGTGTCAGGTAGATCTCGGAGACCATCTTGCTGCCACGGTCCCCCTCACGATGGTCGGCATGGTCGTGGTTTTTCACCAGGTGCCACAATTTGGTGCCCGTCTCCTGGTCAGGCGTGATCATGGGTGCCCGTGAGCGGAGGCTATCAGGGCTGCTGGCTGTGCGGAGCAAGCTCTCTGGAGCAGAGAATGCATGTGACCCTTAGGCCAACACCTGGCCCCTGCCCCACTCTCCCGGGAGCCCAGCAGCCTGTGGGGACCCATCTGCCCTCACTGGCCGACCCTCCGTCTACACTCCACAGAATCACAGACCTCCCGATGGCACTTGGAAGGGGGGGGTTCCCTGGGACGGCTTAAGCAGCCTCGAAGGGCACACGGCCACCACAGTGAGGACACCTACCGTAGCGGCTGAGGGAGCGGGTGAAGGTGAAGGAGTTGGCCATGTTATAGGCAGATACTTGTTTGGGCACCAGTGCCACCAAGGAACCATCTGTCACCTGGAGGCCCCAGAGACAGAGGGGGGCAGTGCAGGAAGCTAAGAAGCCAAGGAGCCCCCACCCACCCACACCCAGGAGGGGAGCCCACGAGTCCAGGGAGAAGGGCAGGGGGAGCAAGGACCACCGCTCCTGTGTCCTGCTACAGCTCAAGGCAGGGTCCTGGCTCCCAGGTGGCCCTGGGGGTGAATGGGCCCCAACCCCTCACCTGGTAGTGGGCCAGTGAGTTGAGCCTCTTCCAGTCACACTCGATCTTGGTGGTGACATCCTCATCCTGGAGGATGATGCGAGTCATGCGGCCCTGGCGCCACTCTGTGGGCCACAGACAGCCCTTAAGATTATGCTGGAAGCCCCCAAGTCCCTGGCCCACTCCTCTTAGAGAACAGGGTTCAGGTGGGGAGCGGGAGAGCCCACGGAGGTCACACGGCACAGGAGGGTATGAGTAGGAGCCAGGAGGAGAGGGCGGGGACCTCACCCAGGTCCATGTCCTCAGCTTTGGGGCGCTGGGAGTACGGAATGCCCTTGTACACAGTGTCCAGCAGCTTATCTTTGGCCTGGGTGATGCTGTCACAGTTGAGAACCTTCACTGGGACTTGGGCACTGCCCTCGTTCTCCGGACACACGCAGTGCAGGGTCTGAGGGGAAAGCGGACCCCAGCGTCAGTCTAGGGTGAGGCCTCTCTCTGCGCCCGCACCTCTGGCCCGCCTGGCCCTGGGCTCACCAGTGTCTTGTAGTCAATCTGCTGCCGGATCAACTTGTCCTCGCTCAGGGAGTATCGCGCCTCGCCCGTGATGGCATCGATTGGGCCCTTCTCCATCTGCTGCTTGATGGCGCAGTAAAGCAGGAAGAGAGGCTCCCCAGCACATTCCTGCAGCCAGTGACAGGTACACAGCTGGCTGCCTGCCTTACCATCGGCTGGTCCTCAGCCACCACCTCCCTGCCGCCCACCCACCTGGCGCACCTTCAGAAACTTATGCAGCAGGAACGTGAACCAGTTGGTAAGCATCTTCTCAGCCACTGACTCTGTCCTAGGGCAAGAGAGGGGTGCTTGGGCCTGACAGAGGTGGGGCTTGGGCAGGGGGAGGGCCAGGCAGGACAAAGGCGTGGCCTGGATAGAGCGAGGCAGGTACCTGCGTAGCAGCAGCTTGGGATGGTTTTTACTCTCCAGGTTTTTCTCGATGAGGTCAGCCAGCAGTTGCTTGAGCAGCCCCGTGGCATAGTCGAGCCGGCTCTGCAGGGCCACCATGGTGAGCGAGGCCACGGTGCCGCGGTCGCGCATGGAGAAGCTGCTCTGGGCTTCCAGCGTGTGGATGAAGGTAAGCACGAAGGCGCGGCTGTGCAGCAGCTGCCCGAAGAGGCGCAGGGCCTTCTCCATATTGGGTGGCGTCTGTGGGGAGCAGGAAGTCTCAGAGAGTGGGGTCAGCCCTGAAGGGAACTGGTAGGGGCAGGCGAGGCAGAGGCTCACGTCCAGCTCCTTGAGCACCGGGTGGGCCTCGATGCCCGGGAAGAGCACGCGCACGGCATAGGTCCGGTAGTCCAGGAAGGGGATCTGCACCTCGTCCATGTGGTTAGTCAGCTCGTTGATGTCTGTCTGCAGCTCTGCAAAAGCTGGGGGTGGAGAGAGGGACTGAGTGGGCAGGAGGGAGGTCCCCAGCTTCCACACCACATCCCGCCCCACCTCAGGCACCTTCCTTGCACTCCAGAGCCACACGGGATTCCAGGTTGTCCATCTGCAGCTGCAGGCGCTTGAGGGTGCGGTCCGCGTCCTGAGTCTTGCGCTTGTAGGCCACCAGCACAGCTGTGATGGCCAGCAGCAGGAGCCCGCCCCCCCCTGCCAGCCCCATCATGGCCGGTAGGGTCAGTGCCCGCTCTGCCGAGATGTGCAAGGTGCCCAGCCAGAACTCCAGGCCACCCACCAGCACCTGTGGGGACAGGCCTGAGGTGAGCTGACCACCATGTCCACCCTGGGCTGCCCAGGGGGTCTCCCCATCCCCACCTACCATGACAGGCTGCCGGCCAGTCTGGCTGGGTGAGTCGCACAGGAGTTGTGTGTCCGAGACAGTGAGCGCACACGGCTGGCCTCCTATCAGCACAGTGTAGTTGAGGCGGGAGCTGCCGGCTGCTGCGGGAATCAGGTTCCTGCCCTGGGGGTGGAGGACGGCGTCAGCCCAGGGCTCTCCACTTTCCCGCCCCTCCCCACTCCCACACCGCCCGCACCTTCAGCACCACGTGGGAGCCCGGTTTGACATCCAGCACACCAGAGGGCCCCAGCGGCTCAAAGCTGGGGTCAGGGTAGTAGGTAAAGGAGGAGCGGTTGAGGGAGCGGGCGGTTTGCACGTGGTCCAGCAGGAAACCAAACTCATCAGGGTGCTCGCCTTGCGCCTGAGGCTGGGGCTGCCCAAGAAAGATGCCGGGGGCCTTACACAGCATGGCAGTGTCGTTGATCACCTGACATGTCTGTGGGGACAAAGGTGGACAGCCAGGCATGTGAAGCCATGGGCTGCAGGGTCGGGGTGGGGCGGGGCAGCTGGTACTCACGTTGGTGGTCTCGATGCCGCGGTACTTGGCACGGACCCGGGGCTCCTGGACCGTCAGCAGGTGTGTCCCGCTCACAGTGATGGCGGTGCTTCCGCTAAGGACAGGGCAGGGGCCTCAGGCTCCCTCCTCCAGTGCACCCACCCAGCCCTGGAGAGTGCTTGAGGCTGCCATGGCAGCCCAGGCCTTCCCTGACCCTGGATCACCTAGTGAGTGGTGGGTACTGTGCGGCCAGGACAGCTCTACCCCCTCTACCAATGAGGGCCCAGGCTCCAGGAGGGGCCCCACTGGAGCTCAGGGACCACTGAGTCCCTGAGCCCTCTGGACACTGCCGGGCTCCCCAGTCCCCCAGGGTCTTACTTGATGATGCTCCAGGTGGGCTCAAGGCGGGTGACGGTCGGGTCCTGAGTGTAGGTATAGAGGACTCCGGGGCTGGAGATGTTAGCCCGGTCAATGGCAAGTGTGATGGGGGCCTGGCTGGGGCCCAGGGTGGAGACGGGTGAGATGCACACGATCGCCTTGGCATCTCTCCTACATTGGCAAGTGGGGTGCTTGGAGTGGGTGGCCCAGGGCCTTCCACCACCCGTCCCCACGGCGCCCGACACAATGCCCAACCCAAAGCTGGCAGGGCCCCAGCCCACCTTACGAACTGGCACTCGCTGTCCCTCACAGTCACTGTGACCCTGCTGCCAGCATCCAGAGAGCTGCCTGAGATGGTGAGCCGTGTGCCCCCTGACGCCGGGCCACGGCTGGGACTCACTTGGTCAAATGTTGGGGTCTGTGGGAGAAGCTGCCCTGAAGGGAGGAGCCAGGCTGGGCTGCTCCACACGCCCCTTGCGGGAGAGAGAAGGGACAGGAAGGGGGAGGGCCAGCAGCCACGCACCACGAAGCTGTAGAGCTGCTCCGACTGTGTGCGGAAGTCAGCTGAACAGTCACCCACGCACAGCTCCACGGGCCCCGGCGGTGGGCTGGGCACCAGCGACTCCTCCATCTCACACACGATCCTAGGGCTCAGAGAGCGTCAGGGCCGGCCAGGCCACATACAGCCCGGGCACCCACACAGCCGCACTCACCTCTCAGCACTGATGTACTCGGCCGGGATAGAGTTGCAACGCACACCAGCCACCCGCAGGCCCACCTCTCGGGACAAGAGGCCCAGGTTCTCACCCATGATGGTGACCCGGGTGCCTCCCTCCTTAGGCCCCACAAGAGGGTGGATCTGTGGAGCACGATGGGCAGTGAGAGGGTTGGCTCAGGCTTCCAGGGGCCCTGTTGGCAGTGGGCAGGGGTGGTGAGGGACGCTGACCTGCGTGATGTGGGGGTGGCTGCACCGGGTGCCCTTCTGGCTCAGATGCATCCAGTTGGTCTTTGGGGCTGGGCAGTGGGTCCGCAGCTGGCACCTGTGCTCTGAGATGCACCAGCCACAGTTGAAGCGGGGATCAGCCTTGAGGCAGAGGCCACAGCTAGGCCGCTGCGCCCAGCACTTGTACAGGAGGGCTGCAGGCACAGAAGGCACTGCTAACGGAGCAGGCAGCCGCAGAAAAGTGGCAAGTGGGGAGCACTAGGGCCCCCAGACCCGACCCCAGCAGTGCCGACTGCCTTAGGAGGCAAGCTCCCTGGCCTGTGATGCCCTTCACCTCGGAAGCTGGGAGGCTTGTCTATGGGGAAGTCTCCATCCCAGACCACGGAAAAGTCCAGCTCGGTGTCACCATGCTCATCACCTTCATAGGAGTACTAGAGGAAAAGAACCCATGGGACCCCAGATAAGATGTGCAGAACTCCCCCACCAGGATTTTTACCAGCTATCCCCCTCCTCCAGGTACAGGAATCCCTAGCAGGAGACTCAGAGAGTTCCCTGCCAGGGAGCTGGGCATAGACAAGAACGATCCGCACCATGCCACAGCCCAGACCCCGAAGGGAGGCAGCGGGCAGGATCTCACCGAGGCATTCTGGCACTGCACACTGCTGCTGTTGAAGCGCACGGCAGGCACCCGCTGCTGCCGCCCCTGCACCCGCACCACGCACTCATAGTTCTTCTGGCCCGACTGCGGCTGAGGTAGGTTCTTAGCCCGCAAGGTAAGAGGCTGCATGACCCCAACGGGGATCAGGAGGTCCCCACTGGGCAGGATCTCAGGGCAGCCCTGGGGAGAAAGCACCTGTCAGCTGCACACAAGGCCACCCTTCTCCAGGCCTAGCCCAGAAAAGGCTAAAAGAAACTGAGAACACAGAAGCCAGTGACCCGCCCGCACCACAGAGCCCAGCCCCTCACACGCGGCGCCCGCCTCACCTCAGGGCTGCGGACCCTGCCCTCCTGGAAGGAGCACTCATGGGGGCGGCTGGTACAAGCGTGGCGGTACTTACACCAGTGGCAGGGGTAGGGGCTGCCAACACAGGACATGCACCTGGGGGGGAAGTGGCTTCAGAAATAACAGAGGAGGCTGCACTGCCCCTCACTGCTCCCCAACAGGACACATCGGGAACCGAAGGAAGAAGGCAGCCATATCAGGGGACAGAGAGATATGGGGATGTCAGGGGCTATCAGCACCTGACAGTTAGCCCCTGATGCCCCAGAAACAGTTGCCCTGCAGGTGTCGCCTGTCCCAGAGGTTCCCTCTATCCCCAGGGGTAGGGGTGGGTGCTGGGCCAGGTACTCACGACTGGAGGACGCTGCAATTGTAGAAGACAAAGTCAGCACCGGCGAACCTCACGCCTGTCTCCTTGGAGAGAAGCTGCAGCCGCACGGTGCGGGTGGCCCCTGCAGCAGTCCCCGGGTGGCCATGAACTCTCTGGGGGCAGGGAGAGGCCTCACCCTGCCCCACCCTGGGCAGCCCCAACCCACTGACCATGCCCTCTGGTAAGAGCTCGGAGCTCCTGGAGGGAGGGTGAGGGGCAGAGCAGTTCACCAGAGGGCAGCAGGATCGCCTCACTCTCTGCCACCTCCTCGAAGGTGCAGCTCACGCCTGCACTGAGGTCCGGCACATTATGCAGGGTGACGGTCAGCTGGGGGAAGCAGAGGGCTCAGGGCAGGGTGCACTCCCAGCACATATGGGCACACCCAGCCCGGCACCCCCAAGCTGCTCACCTGCACCCCAGGCGACATCACTGACACGTTGTTGGGCCGGACCCGCACCTGGACACACTTGTTCAGTTCCTCAGCAAAGCCGTGCGGGGCAGAGGCGCCCGGACAGGCCCCTTCGCGGCAGCACCTGCACGGGGTCGGGCCAGAGGCGGTCCCGCCACTGCCCCGAGAGGGCCCAGGCCTGTCCAGCTCACAGTGCCAGGCAACAGCGAGCCTTGGCCTCGTCCCCGGGGGCCTGAGGGACGTCACTCGGGGTGGAGGTTCCGCTCATTAGCTGGAGAAAGTGGAGGAGGGTGGGGGAGGCCGCAAGGGCACAGCTGGGTGTGGCTGGCTCCCCCTGGCTAGTGGGGCCCTCCAACTCCCCAAGCAGGGGCCCCCGCCCTCACCTGTGCTGCAGCACACACCAACCACAGTGTGGGTCCCCGGAGCCCAGGCAGGCCGTGCAGCTCGGGTACTGCTCACAGGTCTCCACTGGAAGCTGGCTCACCTGAAGACAGCCACATCAGCACCCAGCCCGCCCCCACCCCACCACCCACCGCCACCCATCACAGGCCCACCTGCTTCTCACTCAGGAGATAGATGTGCTGGTGGTCCGGGCTGAAGAGCAGGTCTCGGAGGATGGGGCTGCCATCCACCACGGGGACTGTCTCATACAGGTGGGCATCCTGGGAGCCATCGACCCGCACCTGAGCCACAAGACCAGCCTGATGCCACCACAGCCTCCTGCACCTGGGACATTGTCTTCTCCGGCCAGAGACTTTGGAGGTTGTGGCTGAAGTGAAGTCAGGGCCTGGTGGGGTTCAACACTCACACCCACAGCCCTGAGGCCAGAAAAAGGAGGGTGCAGATGCCAGAAAATGCCCTCAGCAGACAGAAGAACAGAGTGATTCATGTTGCCCAGGGTCAGGGGATTCAGGGGAGGGGAAGAGCTAGAGGATGGCATTGATTACGGGAAGGAGGTAGTGGCGATGGTTGCACAACTCTGCAGATCCACAGAAATCCATTCAACTGTGCACTTTAATCGGGTGAATTGGATGGTGCGTGTTCAACAAAAGCTGCTACAAAGAACAAGAGGGTCCCAGGAACAGAGCAAGTGGGATGGGAGAGCTCAGCATCCTTCTCCACAAACCCTTCCCTGTGCCCCCAGACCAACTCTTGCCCTCCTGGGGGATGGCACTGCATCTATGAGGCAAGCAGGATGACAGCACTGCAGTCCCCCAACTCCTACCTATTCAGAACGTACCTGAGTGCTCAGGAGTTCACCTCCCCCTTCATGCCAAGCTACCCCCAGATCCCCAGTGGAAGCAGCCACAGCCGCAGGGCCCATGAGGGAAAGAACAGTGGGGCAGGCGCATGGATCTGGAAAGCCCTCTCTGGGAAAGTGACATTTTGGGTGGGAGGAGAAGGATGGGAAGTAGTGAGCCAAGGAGAGGGCAGGGACGAGTGGGTCCATCCGAGGGATGGGGAGGTTCAAGGGGCAGGGCATTTGCTCTCTTGTTCATTTAACAAAGAACCCAGCAATGACGGCTCAGCCCCAGCCCTGCTCTCGTGGCAGGGAGACCCCACAATAGGTCTGTTCTCTGTCCCCCGAGCCACAGGAAGCTGGCAATTCAGTCCACAGTGGGAACTGGCAACGGTGAGGGTGGGTGGCCGAGGGACCACCCGAGGAGCAGGGCCAGGCTCCTGGGACCCAGCCAGGGAAATCTCCCTCCCTGCACCAGCCATGTCCTCTCTTGTCCTATCCTCAGGGGTCTCCTGTGTGTTCCCACCACCAGCCTTGTCCCATATCTGAGACTGTCCCCACCCCCACACGCCCAGGGCTCTGGGGGCCACCTTCTTCAGGCTGCCGCTGCGCGTGCCAATGAAGACCACAGAATGCCGGCGGTAGGTGTAGGCGGCCACACTGGCCATGCCGTCGGTGCTGTCGGCCAGCAGGGGCAGCCCCTCGATCACGTGCAGGCCTCCCAGAGGCTGGTTCAACACCAGCCCGCAGAAGTTGCCGTTGATCTGCATGGGCTGGTGAAACAGAGGAGGGATCCGTGAGAGTCAGAGCTCCCCGGTGCAAGCACACAGCAGCCAGACGGAGGCTGGCAGTTCCTGTCTCCCAGAAGAGAGCGGGATCTAGAACCCAGTCCCCTCCAGGCAGGCCTGACTGCTCGCCCTAGGGTGCTCCAGAAAATTGGCAGCTATGGAGGGAGACAGAGGAGGGACAGCAGGGAGGGAGGAGCGAAGCCTGGGCCCACAGGACTCTCACTGGCTCAAGACAAGGGGCATCCAGGAGACGGAGCAAGGAGGAATGAGCTAGGAACGGAAGCAGAAGTGGGGCACTGGGCAGGCCAGAGAGAGAGAAGGAGAGGGCAGGGACCCCTGGAAGGGAGAAACAGGTGGGAGGGCAAAGGTGCCACTTCCAGGGCCATGGCAAAGCCTGGGACAGGATGACTGGCCGTGAGCCCAGGCCAGGCACGGCAGACCTGGGACAGGGCAGAGAACCAGTGTGGGGTGACGAGGGGCTCACAGTGTTGATGCAGGGCAGCTCCTTGTTCAGCAGCCAGGGCAGGGCCAGGGTGCCCTCCCCGCGATAGCAGGACTGGATACGGCGCCGGATGTGGGCATTGATGTTGCTGAGAGTGAAGAGGCAGAGGATGGTCTGCCGGGGTGGGCTGGCTCGGTTCTTCTGGCCCTGAGAGAAGATGGTGAAGAGGATGTCCTCGTCAGCCGGCACGCCCAGGGCCTGGGCCAGCAGCAGGCCAGGCTTGGCCAGGTGGGCGCTCTGCACTAAGCGGTACTCCACACCACGCCAGGAGCAGCCGATGGGGAATTCCACATATGAGTAGAACTCTGAGTCCCCAGCGCACATGCGCACGATCTTGGACGTGAAGAATTTCTCGCCCGCTGTGTCCAGCAGCGTCTGCTGGGTGTCCAGCTGCAGCGTCAGGAAGTACACGAAGGAGGCGCTGACGAAGCCGTAGATGTAGTAGATGTCAAAGGCAGGGTACAAGGACAGCGTGTCCGAGGGAATCTTGATCTGGGAGGAGACAAACTCATCTTGGTACACCTGGGGAGCAGGGAGAGAAGACAGCATTGGGTGAGGCCCTATGCCAACATCGCGGGCCACCACCAGCTTCCCTCTGCATTCCCCTCCTGCCCAGACGATCACAGAGGCCCAGGCCAGAAAAGCTGCATAGGGCAGGGTGATCAGCCTCCCTGCACACAGGGGACCCCCACAGCCTGGGCTCAGGCTGTTGTCCCACCCTCTGCAACCCGTCTGCATCCCAGACACTGAGGAGCCGAAAAGTCCCCTCTCAGAACAGGACTCTTCTGGGAGGCAGAGCCAGGACTTGATAGAGGAAGGAGGGAAGGAAGGCTCACGCACGAGACTGAACATGTCCACGCTGTCTTCATCACTGATGAGCTTGCGGGAGCTCAAGGTGGGGAAGTACTCCGACTTGCCATCGACAGCAGTGCCCACGAACAGCTTGCTGGGCCCCTGGCCCTGCTCCACAATGACACCAGCCATGGAGTCGGGCTCCTGGGCCCCCGACAGGTAGTGCTCCTTGCGGTGGTGCGGCTCACCCAGCTTGAAGAGGTCGTCCACGCGCAGGAACTGGCAGATACCCTGCCAGATGCTGCCGCAGGCCACCAGGCGGCGGGCCGCATAGTCTATGAGCAGCAGCTTGTTGATGTTGTCCACGGGGGCCAGGCGGTGGGCACACACGCGCATGCTGGGGGGTGGGTAGCAGCGAGCGTTGTCCTCGATGGGCCCCGTGACATGGGCCCGCAGCTCAGTCAGGTTGGGGGCCAGCTTAAAGACTCGGTTCACTGCGCCCACAAACACCTCCCCAGTCACCCGGTGCACGGCCAAGTGGGTGAGCTTGGTATCTGTCACCACAAAGGCACGGAAGGGCCTGCTGCCCAGGGCCCCCCCCACGGCAAGGAACAGCAGCAGGAGGAGGCAGACAGAGGGCATGGCCGGCAGGCGCGCCGGGGGACAGGCCTGGGGAGAGACAGTGTGTGGGAGTCAGAGGCCTTGAGCCACAGAGGGCCGGGCCATTCACCCACCACCCCACCAAAGCCCCAGATGGCCACCGGGACAGGGAGAGAGGAGGGGCCTCCACCAGGGCGCATGAGTGAGCAGCCAGCGAGGGCAGGCTTGGGGGCCATCAATCGTCCCTCAGACCCCGTGCTGGAAAGGAGCCAGGAGGCCTCGCCTCAGCTGGGCCACACCCAAGGGGGCAGCAGAGCAGATGCTGGGAAAGGCCAGGCAGGAGGCCCTCTGGAACTGAGACCCCAGATGCCACATCTCAGAGCCCAGGGCAACCAACAGCAAAGAACAGCAAGCCCCAGGCCTCTGGGCTGTCCCCAACGCCTGAGCTGAGGGGAGAGGGAGGCAGGAACAGAACAATTGCAAGCTGGGGAAGAGGGGCAGGGGCAGGAACACCACCCGGAGTGGCACTGCCACCAGGAGCCCTGGGATAGAGGTCTAGGGAAGGGAGGCCTGATGGAGGATCCAGAACCACCATGACCCCTGAAGGGGCCCCAGCTGCCTCCCTGACAAGGGCCTCAGCTGGCTGTCCAGGAGCCCGCTGTCTGGCCTCCCGGATGCAACACAAAGCCGAGTCCCGCCTGCCCCCTCAGCCACGCACCCAGACACACATTATAAGTCAAGCTCTGCTCAGGCACAGCCTGCGCGGCTCCCCCTCCAGACCCAGAGGTTCACTGGGGAAGGGAATGTACAGGAGGCCCCACCTGCTGTTTGGAGTCCCAGGAGCCTTACAAAAGGAGGAGCAATGTCCCCAAATACAGTCAAGGCCTTGGGGAGACAGGGCAGGAGCCACAGGGACAGTGCTGGGACTGGCACTTAGCCCCCAGGCCACACCCAGCCAGCCCCAGGCTGCTAAGACAGCAGAGCAGTGTCTTGGCAGCCAACAGGGCAGGGCTCAGCGCTACCCTCTCAGTGCCAGAGCCCCCGGGGGCAGATAGGAGGTACCCAGCTTGGGGGGGGGGCGGTGCAGGGAACCAAACCAAGGAGGCACAGGAGAGAAAAAGGAAAAAAAAATGCATTTGCCAGAACAAGGAGCAGGCCCAGCTTGAAACTGCAAAGTTTCAGCTCGGATTGATCACCTCTCCAGGGCTCTTTTGTCAGCTGGACCCTCATGCAACAGCCGGAGAAGAAAGGAAGACCAAAGAAAAGAGAGGCCACATCCTGTCCTCACCTCCTCTACACCCCGGGAACACAAGCCTAGGAACAGGCTGGGGACAGGTAGGGAGGGAGACCTGGGGAGGCAGAATTTCAGGCCCAGCCCCCACCTGTAAGTGGCAACCTCGGGCATCACAGGTACAGCTGGGCCAGCAGAGAGCCTGAGGACGGGGCAGCCCCACGCAGAGACGCGGGTCCAGCGGACGCCCCCCAACACCCCCCACTGTGCTGCTGGTCCAGTTTGCCCGGGCCCCATCAGGGCACCCCTCGGCGGACTCGCGGAGCCCTTAGCGGGAGGGAAGTACAGCGTTGATCCTCCGAGGGGCCGCTCCCCTGCGACAAAGGGTCCTCTTTGGGCAAGGGGCTGGTCTTGGGTTGGCGTCCCCACCACGCAGGGCACAAGGGGCCGGGCAGGCCGGCGCCGACGGGCAGGGGTAGGGCCTGACTCCCACAGGCCGAGTCGGACCCCCGGGCTGCCGGAGCCCCGGGCCCGGAGCTGGCTGGCCCCGCACGGACGGCGAAGATGACGGCCACCTACCTGTCCCTCTGCTGGCTCCAGGTGACCGCCCTCTGGCCACGTGGACGCGCCCCCGAGCCCCACCGCAGCCCCACTCGCGCGCCCCTTCGGCCTCGCCCCGCGCCCCGGGCCCCACGCGCGCAGCCGCCGCTACCGCCCACACACTGGGCCGGCCCGGGGGCCGCCTCAGCCTTTTAAACCCGGACCGTACCACCGCGCGGGGCGGGGGCGCCCGGGGACGCCCGGCCGAGGGGGACGCAACGGCAGGGGGCGCGGGCGGGGCCGCTGCTCCCCGCGGCCAGGGACCTCGTGCGCAGCCCCGACCCCCGCGACCTGCAGGGGGACCCGCCCGGCCAGCCGACCCCCTTCGCTCGATGGCCGCGTCCGCGGCGCGCGCCTCCCCCGCGCCCCGGCTCCCCGCCCGCCGCCTCGGGCGACCCCGGAACCCGCGCGCGCCCGCGCCACACCCCCTCGGGCCTGGGGCGCGCGCCCGCCTCGCCCCACCCTGGCGCTCGGAGACGCGCCCGGGGTCACCTGCCACCGGGGCGCGGCCTCGCTGGTCCCGGCCTCTCAGGTACACCGCCGCCGAGGACTCGCGCCCCCAGCTCAAGACACGCCCCCGACAGTCTCTAACCCGGAGGGCCTGCGGCGACAGTCGTCCAAACCAGCCCCTTCCCCGGCGATTCTGAACCCTGGCCTTTCTTCCTTCCCTTGCTTTATTTTTCCTTTTCTTTTTTTGTTTTGTTTTGACACAGGGTCTCGCTCTGCCACCCGGGCTGGAGTGCAGTGGTGAGATCATAGCTCACTGCAGCCTCGACTGCCCCAGGCTCAAACGATGCTCCCGCCTCAGCCTCCCAAAGTGCTGGGACTACAGGTGTGAGCCACCGTGTCCCGCTAAGGTTTTCCTTTTCATTTCCCTGATGACTAATGATGTTTAGCATCTTTTCATGTGCTTGTTGGCCTTTTGTATATGATCTCTGAAGAAATATCTATTCAAGTCCTTTGCCCATTTTTATTAACCATATATATGTATGTATAGATAGATAGATAAGATAGATTTTTTCCCCCCAAATTGAGGTCTCCCTTTATCACCCAGGCTGCAGTGTAGCGGCACTGGATCATGGCTCACTGCAGCCTCGACTTCCTGGGCTCAAGGGATCCTCCTGCCTCAGCCTCCCAGGTAGCTGGGACCACAGGCAAGCGCCACCACACCTGGCTAACTTTTCATATTTTTGTAGAGAGAGACAGGGTCTTGCTACATTGCCCAGGCTAGTCTTGAACTCGTGGGCTTAAGCAATCCTCCTGCCTCAGGCTTCCAAAGTACTGGGATTTGCTGGGCGCAGTGACTCACGCCCGTAATCCCAGCATTTTGGAAGGCCGAAGTGGGTGGATCACCTGAGGTCAGCAGTTCAAGACTAGCCTGGCCAACATGGTGAAACCACATCTCTACAAAAAATACAAAAATTAGCCGGACATGGTGTCATGTGCCTGTAGTCCCAGCTACTCAGGAGGCTGAGGCAGGAGACTCTCTTGAACCTGGGAGGGGGAGGTTGCAGTGAGCCAAGATCATGCCATTGCACTCCAGCCTGGGAGATAGAGCAAGACTCTGTCTTAAAAAAAAAAAAGTACTGAGATTATAGGCATGAGCCGCCGTGCCCGGCCCTCAACTGACTTTAAGTAAAAGATATCACCCTTGATAATGTGTGTGGGCCTCATCCATTTAGTTGGATGGCTTTAAGAGCAAAACCCGAGGTTTCCTGGAGAAGCAGAAATTCTGCCTCAAGATTGTAACACAGGCCAGGCGCGGTGGCTCATGCCTGTCATCCCAGCCCTTTGGGAGACCGAGGCAAGCAGATTACCTGAGGTCAGGAGTTCGAGACCAGCCTGGCCAAGATGACGAAACCCCGTCTCTACTAAAAATACAAAAATTAGCTGGGCATGGTGGCGGGCATCTGTAATCGCAGTTACTTGGGAGGCTGAGGTGGGGGGCAATCACTTGAACCCAAGAGGTAGAGGTTGCAGTGAGCCGATATCATGCCATTGTACTCCAGCCTGGGCGACAAGAGCGAGACTCCATTTCAACAACAACAACAAGAAGACTGTAACACAGAAATTCTCCGAGTTTCCAGCCTGTCCTACAAATTTCACACCAACTTGTCAGCCCTGACAATTGTGTGAACCAAATCCTTAAAATAAGCTGTGTGTGTATGTGTCCTGTTGGTTCTGCTTCTCTGGAGAACCAGGACTAATACAGATGTCTTTCCATCTATTTAGGTCTTCTTTAATTTCTTTCAATGATGTTTTGTAGTTTTCAGTATACAAATCTCATGCTTCTTTTAAAAAACGTATTAATATTTTATTCTTTTTTGACACTGTTATAAATGGAATTATTTTCTTAATTTCATTTTGGATTTTGTATAGAAATACAATTGATTAGGCCGGGCGCGGTGGCTCAAGCCTGTAATCCCAGCACTTTGGGAGGCCGAGACGGGCGGATCACGAGGCCAGGAGATAAAGACCATCCTGGCTAACACGGTGAAACCCCATCTCTACTAAAAAATACAAAAAACTAGCCAGGCGAAGTGGCGGGCGCCTGTGGTCCCAGCTGCTCCGGAGGCTGAGGCAGGAGAATGGCGTAAACCCGGGAGGCGGAGCTTGCAGTGAGCTGAGATCCGGCCACTGCACTCCAGCCTGGGCGACAGAGCCAGACTCAGTCTCAAAAAAAAAAAAAAAAAAAAAAAAAAAAGAAATACAATTGATTGGCCAGATGTGGTGGCTCATGCCTGCAATCCAAGCACTTTGGGAGGCAGAGGTGGGCGGATCACTTGAGATCAGGAATTCGAGACCAGCCTGGCCAAGATGACGAAACCCCGTCTCTACTAAAAATACAAAACTTAGCCAGGCATGGTGGCAGGCATCTGTAATCCCAGTTACTTGGGAGGCTGACGCGGGGGGCAATCGCTTGAACCCAAGAGGCAGAGGTTGCAGTGAGCCGATATCATGCCATTGTACTCCAGTCTAGGCAACAGAGAGCAACACTCTATCTCAAAAAAAAAAAAAAAATGATTTTTGTATAATGATCTTTTTGGAGACAATGTCTCACTTTGTCACCCAGGCTGGAGTGCAATGGCATGAACACCACTCACTACAGCCTCGCCTTCCCAGGCTCAAGCAATCTTCCCACCTCAGCCTCCCAAGTAGCTAGGACTACAGGTGCATGCCACCACGCCAGGCTAATTTTTGAATTTTTTGTAGACACAGGGTTTCACCATGTTGCCCAGGCTGGTCTCCACCTCCTGGGCTCAAGTGGCCTGCCCACCTCAGCCTCCCAAGTAGCTGGGACTACAGGTGTATGCCACCATGCCCAGCTAACCTTTGTATTTTCTCTAGACACAGAGTCTCACTATGTTGCCCAGCTAGTCTCGAACTCCTGGGCTCAAACGATCCACCTGCCTAGGCCTCCCACAGTGCTGGGATTACAGGCGTGAGCCACCGCGCCTGGCCTTAGTCCCATCTTTGTCATCTCATCCATTGGCTTGACCAGATGCACAGGTGTTACCCTTTGATTCCCTTGGCCATCTTTCTAGTTTCAGAGCATCAATCATGTCTGTCTTGACAGCTCTGCAATTTCTCACTCCATCCTCTCAAGCTCTCCTGTGAACTCCAGGCTCCAGGTTCATAGATCCAAATCTCTGCTTGGATCTCAACATACCATTTCCACAAGCGAAGCCTTCATTGTTCACCCCAGACTTGCTTCTCTTCGCATGCCCCGCATCTTAGTAAAGGTTCTTCCTCTTGCTCAGGCCAAAGTCTTGGAGTTCTTGACTCCTCTCTTTCTCTCAAACACCACGTCCTATTCCTCAGCAAATCTTGTTGCCTCTCCCCCCAAAATCTATCCAGAAGCTGATCTTCTATTCCCACCCTGGTCCAAGCCACCAGTCTCTCATTAGGATGGCTGTGGTGGCCTCCTCACTGGACTCCCATGCTTGCCCTCCCCCAGTCCCTTTGCCACACTGCTACAAGAGTGACTGGAAAACTTAAGTCAAGATTACGTCTTGCTCCTGGTAAAAGCCTCCAATCACTTCCTTTATAACACTGACTTCCAGAAGACCTTCTAACTATGACCTCAAACCCAGAAGGCATAGAAAACAAAAGAGCCCAACTAGCTAAACATAAACTTCTCGTGTCTAAAAAACACCATAAAATCAATGAAAAACGAGGAAAAGTATTTGCACTATTTAACACAAAGGGGTACTCTCCCTCATATATGGAAGGTACCTAGGATTCTACATATTATTTATTTATTTGAGACAGAGTCTCGCTCTGTCACCCAGGCTGGAGTACAGTGGTGCGATCTCGGCTCATTGCAACCTCCGCCTCCTAGGTTCAAGCAATTCTCCTGCCTCAGCCTCCTGAGCAGCTGAGATTACAGGTGCCCGCCACCACGCCTGGCTAATTTTTGTATTTTTAGTAGAGACGGTGTTTCACCATGTGGCCAGGCTGGTCTCGAACTCCTGACCTCAGGTAATCTGCCCGCCTCGGCCTCCCAAAGTGCTGGGATTACAGGCATGAGCCACTGCACCCGACCGATTTCTAGATAAAAAAGACCAACAAGAGGCCAAGGCAGGAGGATCACTTGAGCCCATGATTTCAAGACCAGCCTGGGCAACATAGTGGATCCTGTCTCTATTTAAAAAAAGAAAAAAAAAAAACCAAGAAGACCAACAATACAATTAATGGGCAAATGTCAGGAATAGACATTTTGCAGGAGAAATAAAATGCACATAGTTTTTAAACATGTGAAAAGAGAAATACAAATTAAAAACCACACTAAGATCAAACAAAAACTTGTATGTGAATGTTCATAGCAGCATTATTTACAATAGCCAAAAGGTAAGAACACGTGAAATGCCCATCCATGGATGAATGGATAAACAAGATGTGGTGTACACAGACAATAGACTACGACTCAGTTAGTTATAAAAAGGAAGGAATTCTGACCATGTTACAGCATGGATGAACCTCAAAAACATGATACTAAGAAAAACAAGTCAGACACAAAAGGTCATGCATTGTATGATTCCATTGATGTGAAGCTTCCAGAACAGTCCAATCTATTGAGATGGTAGATTAGCAGCTGCCAGGGCCTGGGGAGCTGGGGAATGGGGAGAGACTGCTGAATAACCACCGGATCTCCTTTTGGGGATGAAAGTGTTCCAGTAGAGAGAGGCAATGGTCACACAACAATGCAATGTACCAGATGCCACCAAATTGTAAATTTTAAAATGGTTAATGGCTACTTTTCTGTTATATGAATTTTTCCTCAGTTGAAAAAATTAAAAACACAAAGAAGAAACAAAACCCCACGCTGAGAAACCATGTCTCCATCTCAGCTTGGCATACGCCTCCCTGCGGCGAGTGAGGGCACTGTGTGGGCAAGGCTGGGGGAGCCGGCCCTCATCCTGCCCGTGGGGCTGCCAAGTGGGCAGGCCCTAGGGAGTGGAGTTAGCCAATATCTGCTATGCCGACTTTGTAGCTGAAGAGAGAATGAGGAGGGTCTCTATGCACCCATGTGGAAAGATGCCAACTATTGGGATATATCACTAATGGACACTACGGTGTCGAACAGCATGCAAGCGCAATACCTTTCGTGTGAGAAAGGTGAGGGCCAGGAGGGGCAGCCATAGGAGCTTGTCTTTGTTTAGAGAAAGAGGACAGGTAAGCAGGCAGTGAAGAAAAGCACATCTCTGTTGGGGACATTGCAGGAACTGGCTTCCACACTGACATGGGAACCACCTGAATACATGGCTTCTGCTGGACAGTCAAGGTGAGGGAAAAGGGTAGCATCCAGCCCTGCCCCTCATCTTGGAGCTTCCTCCTTCCCCTTGTTCCAGCCCAGCGCACCTTTTTTTTTTTTTTTTTTTGAGATGGAGTTTCACTCTTGTCATCCAGGCTAGAATGTGGTAGCGTGATCTCGGCTCGCTGCAACATCCACCTCCTGGGTTCAAGCAATTCTCCTGCTTCAGCCTCCCGAGTAGCTGAGATAACAGGCACCTGCCACCACACCCAGCTAATTTTTGTATCTTTAGTAGAGACGGGGTTTCACCATGTTGGTCAGGCTGGTCTCAAACTCCTGACCTCAAGTGATCCACCCGCCTCAGCCTCCCAAAGTGCTGGGATTACAGGCGTAAGCCACCGTGCCCAGCCTCCAGCTCACCTTTGACCCAGACTTGGTGTTCCCTCTGCCTGGAACGCTCCCTCCCGCATCAGAATGGCTGACTTCTTGTCATTTGGATGTCAGCTTAAATGTCCCCATGCTAGAAAGGCCAGTTCATCTTGTTCCTACATTTTGTTTTGGTTGTTTCCCTCTCTGTTGTCTACACATACAGCCCCCAGGAATGAGGACCGGGTGAGCAAAGTAGGTGACCACTCCTGACACACACTGATCCTTGGTGACCTTATCCAGTTCCAGAGCATCAAATAGCCTCCTCAGCCAAACACAGTGGCTCACACCTGCAATCCCAGCAATTTGGGAGGCTGAGGTGGCAGGATCACTTGAGCCCCGCAGTTCGAGACCAGCCTGGGCAACAGAGCTCTTAAGACCCCATATCTACAAAAAAATTTTTTTTTAATTCTGTTCCAATTTTCATGTACATAAAAATAGCTGGGTGTGGTGGTGCACACCTGTAGTCCCAGCTACTCAGGAGGCTGAGGCGGGATGATCACTTGAGCCCAGGAGGTGGGGGCTGCAGTGAGCTGAGATCTCACCACTGCACTCCAGCCTGGGAGACAGAGCAAGACCCTGTCTCCAAAAAAAAAAAAAGGAAAGAAAGAAAAAGTACATTACTCTACCCTCATCTCTATTCCTAGTGATGCCAGATGGCTACTTCCCGGCCATGCTGAATGAGACACTGGGCCTCTGCACTGTCGAGCGCCATCAGATCTCCACATTTGCCAGGAAGGGGAGGCCAGACCCAGGACTGAGGTGCTCCTGACCAGTGAGGGGCTATCCCCGGTCCTTTCTTCTTGGCTTCAGGCCAGGGGAGGAAACAGGGAGCTGTTAGCTGGCCTTTCTCAGCCTCCTAGAGCCAGGCCTGCCTGCCTCAGCTTAGCCAAGTGGAACCTGGGGAACCCAGCTGCTGAGATGGCAGAGTAGGGGTCCTGGACCCATCCCCGATCTGGATCCTGCCCCAAGGGCTGTCTGAGCAGGGCTAGCTAGGGCAGGGCAGGCAAGTATTGAGCGCAGGGCACCACAGCAGACCGACTGTGCTGGGACGGCCCAGAGCAAGGAAGGCAGGGGTGGCCACAGGATGGCCATGTCCCCTACAGGAAACTCAAGAGGAGCCCAAGGGCCTGGGAAAGAGGCCTGGGGAGGAACCCCCTTCCCACCCACCAGAGCCACCACCGCCCAAGGACAGGTGCCCATGGTCAAGAAGCAGTGCCACAAAGACACCTCAGGAATGGTGGGGCTGCCCCGGTGACAGATTCCCCAGGCACGCATGACACGTCCAGAACAGGCCAATCCATGGAGACAGAAAGCAGATGAGAGCCTGGCGGGGGGATGTGAAGCAGGGAGCCTGCTCATGGCCACAGGGCCTTTTGGAGGGATGAAAATGTCCTGGAAGCAGACCAAGGTGATGATTACACAACATGGCAAATGTGCTAAATGCCACCGAATTGTACAGTTTTAATTGGTCAAAACGACAAATGAATTTGGTCCGAACACAAATGGTTTCTCACACTGCAGGCGCTCCAGCTGTGACATGTGCACTTCTTTATTGGAAAAGAATAAAGCAGTCACTGACGTGCCGGGGGCAGGACACGAGAAGCTGCCATCCTCCTCCCAGCGTGCCTGGCATGGTCGCAGGGGAGCAGGTGCCTGGAGTCCCGGGGACACCACGGGGCATGCTGAGGGAGCTGAGGAGCCAAGGCTGTGCAGCTTCCCAGACGCTCAGCGGATCTGGTGTGAAGACAAGGTGGGTGGAGGAGACAAGGAAGGCGAGGGGTGAGCAGGGACTGGCCACCATCCCCACCTGGGAGGGGTCCCTGCCAGCCCCTCCTCACCGTGTACTTGTCCCACTTCTTTTCAGGGTCGTAGGGTTCCCAGCGGCTGGCAGGGAAGATGTGCTTGTTCTTCTCGTACCAGCTCCTCAGCACCACCTTGCCTGCATGTGACTAAGGGAGGAAGAGGGCAAAGGGCCGCCTGCCAACCTCCCCTTCCCTTAGTTTCTCCTCCACAGCCCAGGGACACCTGTTCCCCGTAACACGGCCCCCAATGCTGTACCTCATCCTTCTCCACAGTGGCGTCACTGAGCAACCGCACATCGTCATGAACATCAAAGTTGAAGAGTGGCCCTGCAGGAGAGAAGCAGACAGCCCAATGTCCCGCTGCTGCCCCGGTGACAATATCGGGGGCAAGGTGCTATGGGGGTGGCTGGGCCGGGGGCACTCACCACTCTTCCCCCGTGCCTTGGTGACGATGAAGTCGTAGAAGCTGTGATGCTGGGAGCCAAGGGCAGGAAAGTGGCGCCTTGATGGCCCATCTCGGCCCCTCCCCCCACCCCCCGCCTGCACACACCACCCCCACCAGCCTGAGCCAAAGCCCAGGGCGCAGCACACACTGCGGGTCCTGGGAATGAAGGGACTCACATGCGGGATGATCAAGTCCTCCTTGATGTACATGAGCTGCTCCACCCCTGCGGACCTGAGGGAGGAAGGCAGGAGGGCGTGGGCAAGAGGACAGCACCCCTGCCCATGGAGGGAGGAGGCAGCCAGCCCAGGAGAGCCTGCGCTGGGGCTGTGAGACAGCGGCCAGTGGGCTCTGAGGGAAGCTCCATGGTTTAGTGAGCCCAGGACTGGCACCCAGCACCCTCCCCCTTCGGACTAAGGAAGCAAGGCAGTGCGCTCCCAGCGAAGCTCTCTCTGGTGGGAGGGAAGGGAAGAGGAGCCTGACCCCGTCTTTTGGGAGGATAGTGCCCAGCATGCTGCCTCCTTGCCCAGGCAGTGCCCACATCACACTGGGTGTCTGGCACCCGGGCTGGAGCCACAGGTGCCACACACACCACCATGCACACAGGCACACCTCGCACCTCAGCTCACTGAAGTCTTTCCGAAGAATCTCGAGCGCCTTCTGCAGGAACTGCTGCATGGTGTTGCCCTTTCTCATCTGCATCCGGGAATCCAGGAGTTGGGAAGGGAAGGCAAAAGCCTGCAGAAGGGCTCTCAAGAAGGCAGAGGCCCAGAGGGCCCTGCCAGAGACTGCAGAGCCTCAGCCAGGCCTGGGCCTCACTCCCCAGAGGGCCAGGTCCCGGAGCCTGTTATCCTCAGGATCCCTGGGGCTTCCCAAGTCAGGATGGTTAGTTCCTTCCCACGGAACCTAAGGGAGGCTGGGCCTATGGTGAGCAGGAAGCAGGCTGCACGCTGCCTACCTTGACTGTCCGCCGGTGCCCAGAGCCATCCCAGTAGCTGAAGGTGATCTCGATCTCCTCGCCTACAAGGCAGAGCTGACTCTTGGTCTCCAGACTCAGGCACCCCCGCCCCACCAAGAGCAGCCTTGGGGCTCAGCGCACCACCCAAGAGACTGTGGACAGGAAAGCTGGCTTGGGCCCAGGCCCCTCGCGTCCAACTCCGAAAAGACTCACTCTTGATCTTCTCCTGCTTGGCTTCCCACTCCTGGCGCAGCTCTTCCCGAAGCCGATTCTCCTCCTCCTGGGAGAGGGAGCAGGCAGACGGGTGAGGCCCAGGGCTGCTCAGGGTGCACGCAGAGCTTGGCTCCCTCAGCAAGGGTATTCACCAGGACTGGAGTCGAGGCCGGGGTCGGGGCCAGGCAACCTTTACCTCACGGTCTCGATCAGGCAAGAAGCTTGTGTCCACGTCTGGATTCTTCCCCAGTTTTCTCTTCTTCGTGGTGATCTCTGGAACAAAAGGAAGCCAAATACCATAGCATTATTATGAAAATGATTTTGCTACGGCCGACGCCTTGGGTCCCCCAAGCATACTTTGAGAACAGCTGATCTAGAAGACAAGCCTAGGGCGGGCACAGAGGCTCACGCTTGTCAACCCAACACTTAAGGGAGGATGAGGCAGAAGGATCGCTTGAGCCCAGGAGGTGGAGACCAGCATGGACAACATAGCAAGACCTCGTCTCTACTAAAGCTCAAAATAATCAGCCCGGTGTGGTGGCGCAGCTGCAGTCCCAACTACTCGGGATGTTGAGGTGGGAGGATCGCTTGAGCCTGGGAGGTTGGGGCTGCAGTGAGCTGTGATCAAACCACTGCACTCTAGCCTGGGCAACAGAGTGAGACCTCATCTCAAAAACAAAAAACAAAACAAAAAAAAACAAAGACAAGTCTAAACTATTTAGCCTGATGCTCAAGGGCAGAGATTCTGGAGCCTGGTTGCAGATTAGAATCATGTGGAGAGCTTTACAAAAATGGATGTCACGGTCTTATGGCTGGGCCCCCTAAACAGAGCCTGTTGGGGGAGGGAAGAGCCCACCAAGCAGTGTTTTGTAAAAGCCCCAGTGATACACAGTGAGGGTGACCTTTCCTCCAGGCCTGCACTGTCCATGCCAGTAGCTCCCAAGTTCGAGACCAGCTTGGGCAACATGGCGAGGTTCCATCTCTACAAAAAATACAAAAATACAAAGCGCCTGTAGTCCCAGCTACTCAAGTGGCTGAGGTGGGAGGGCCCCTTGAGTCCAGGAGGTCAAGGCTGAAGTAAGCTGTGATCACGCCTCTGCACTCCAGCCTGGGCCACAGGGAGACACTGTCTCAAAAACAACAGGCCGGGCACAGTGGCTCAAGCCTGTAATCCCAGCACTTTGGGAGGCCGAGACGGGTGGATCACGAGGTCAGGAGATCGAGACCATCCTGGCTAACACGGTGAAACCCCGTCTCTACTAAAAAATACAAAAAACTAGCCGGGCGAGGTGGCGGGCGCCTGTAGTCCCAGCTACTCGGGAGGCTGAGGCAGGAGAACGGCGTGAACCCGTGAGGCGGAGCTTGCAGTGAGCTGAGATCCGGCCACTGCACTCCAGCCCAGGCGACAGAGTGAGACTCCGTCTCAAAAAAAGCAAAACAAAACAAAACAACAACAATCAAAACAAAAACACAAACACAAACCAGTAGCTCCCGCTGCACACAGCACCCGAGCACTACAGCTAGTGCATGTGCCACAATGGTGATATTTTGGATACACTGGGTGAAATACAACGTAATACTAAAATCCTGCTTGCTTCTTTTTCTGTTTTACTGTGGCTGCTGGAACATAGAACCCAAATGGCAGGTGGCTGGCAGATTCTTCTTCCCCACAATCCCGCACTTCCCTCAAAGCCATGGCACCCAGACTGTTACCACAGCCACACAGCGCCATCCCACCTCACTTCTCTCCCTCCGCCATTCCCTGGGGAACTGCCACCACACCCTCCAGGGGCTCGTGGCACAACTTGCTCCCAATCTTCAAACGTGCCCACTCTTTCCCGCTGGACTTCTGGCATATACTTTCTCATCACCCCTCCTGTCTCTCTGGCTAATGCAATTCCCCTCATCCTTAGGGCCTAACTCAACCCTCCCCTCCTTCCCTGACCCCTGGGTTAGCCCCATGGGCCCTGAGCAGAGCAGTAACCCTGAGTAGTGTCTTCAGTGCATGGTGACCCGTGACTTCCACCAGGAGAGGGACAGCACCCTATGTGCCCTGGCCAGGCACAGCACAGGTATGTGGCACACATGGCAGCTAGGCTGGCTTTACCCTCACTCTCCAGCCATCCTGAGCTTTCCCTGACAGCCCCTTGTTCTCACAGCTGAGACCTGCAGTGTCTGACTAGCAGCCACGGAATTTCTGTGACTATATACATTTACGCTGACACAAATCAAATAGAATTAACCATTTAGTGCCCCAGTCATACAAATCACCTGCAGCAAGTGGCTACCATATTGGGAGGCACAGACTAACATTTCCATCATCACAGAAAATGTGCCCAGCCAGCCTGGTCTAGACCAGCTTCTCCCCTCCCTGGTCTACTGTGCATGGTGCCTCCGGAGGGCAGCTTTTGGAGCCATCTTGATAGGGCATCAGCTTTGCTGACAGCCTCTCACACTGGGGACCCCTCCCCAGGGGCCAGAGGTGGGGCTCTGACTCAAGCCAGCCCTCACCTTCCCTTTCCATCTCCTCCTCATACATAGCCACCTCCTCTTCTTCCTCGCCTCCCTCTTCTTCCTCCTCCAGGGTGAAGGACAGGCTGGAGATCTTCCGCTTGGCTTCCTTCTTACGCTCCTTCTCTCGAAGCTTCTCCAGCTTCCTAGCGAGGTGCAGGTGGCCCCATCACACACCATGTCCTTCCCCAACCCTGACCCAGCCCCTTCCTTGACCCAGAACCACCTGTGTGCCCTATGTGGGTCCTGCCCAGCCTAGGCTGGGTCCCCAGTGCCCCAGAGGGGTCCTGCTGTCCTGGATCACTTCAAGCTCATGGGTGAGGGCTCTGTTACAAACAGTAAGCACAGAGGGCCATAGGGGCTGCAGGACAGAGAGGAATGGGGAGAATGCAGGCTGCTCAGGCACCAGATGCAGGGAAAGGACCCACTGCATTTAGAGAGTCAGAAAGAAGCCAAGCCGCCATGGTGAGAAGACGTGAGCGTGGACCCAAGGAGACAGGAGAGAGAAATGCAAATCGCAAGCTAGATGCTACCCCTGTCCCAAGGCAGGAGACAGGGTCTCCCCCCAGGGTGCAAAAAGAGCCTGACCGGCCCCGGGACCCCGTGAGCACTAGCTCCATGTTGAGGGCTGCGGCGAGAGGACCCACATCTGCAGCTCCTTGGACTGCTCCTTCTTGGCCAGCTGCTTCTCCCGCTCCTTCACCAGAGCCTCCTGCTTGGCCTTCATGTCATTCAGGGTCACAAGACCTTTGAAGCAAGGAGGCACAAGGGGCAAGGTAGTCACAGGGCCAGCGGAAGAGTGGCCCAGGGCCCGGGTGAGGGGCACCCGCACCCTGCTCACCCACGGTGCTGGACTTGAGCTCTGCCTCTACCGCGTCGTAGTGCGCAGAGAACTTCTTGTCAATGTTGGATTTCATGATGTTTTCCTGCGGGGAGGGACAGCCACCATGAGAGTCACCCCTCACTGTGGAAAAGGCAGGCTGGTCATCAGGGACCTGGGTTACAGTCCAAATCTGCCCCTGAAGCTTCCAAGACCCAAGCCAAGGGGTATCAGGAGAAGGCAAACAAGAACAGTGGCTGAGGGGCCTGGTCCCTCCCTGAGTGATTTTCCTCCCTCTAGGCCCCCAAATGTCATCAACAGCTTCCCAGGAGGCCTCTCTTTGGCCCCAGCCCCATCCCACTTGGTACCATGTCAAGCCCTCGCTGACCAGCGGCCTCCCAAGGTGGCTGGCAGACAAATACACCTTCTGCTTGCTGGGCACCCCGGCTCACACAGTGTGGCCAGGGAATAAGGACTTGGTATTTCAAGGTTCCTCTGGCCAGGTTTCCCCAGTTCCCCAAGCAGGAGCCTGCTCTTTCCTGGAGCCCTGAGTCCTGATGAGTGAGTCTCCCTAAAAGGATCAAGCTCTTCCACGCTCTTTCCCTGACCACCACCATCACGGGCCACTCACGGGAAGCAGGGGATGAACCGCTGGCGCCCGGGAGGTTCATGCCTGCCTCACAGATGCAAGGGGTTCTGGAAGGAGCCTCCTGGCCAGTGGACTGGCCAGGTCTGACTCAGGCCTCCCCGCGCCTCTCCAGGGGGAGAGGAACCGCCCTGCCCGGTGTCCATAGGACCAGGGCAGAGGCCTGGCTCTGAGGGCCGAGGGGCCAGAGCCAGGGCGCTAGGTGCCCAGGCGAGGCGACGAGAGGCCTGTCCCCGCCGTGCCTCCCAACAGAAACACTGGCTCGGCTCCCTCCTGCCGGAGGTCGGTCACCAGTCAGTGGCCTCAGCCTCGGAGAACGCCCGGCTCAGGGCCCATTTTACTGATGAGACTCGCCGGCTTGCTTCTGTGCTCTGCTGGAAGTCAGCGAGCCAGGGGCCCGCCCCGGCGCGCCGCCCGCGCTCCGAAGCCACCGCCCCAGGGCTTCCAGGGCCGGAGCGTGGCGCGAGGCAGCCAGGGGACCTGGGCAGCGCGCATGCTCCGAGGCTCCCAGCTCGCACCTCCGCGATGCGCTGCTTCATCTGCTCCATCTGCTCGCGCTGCTTCTCCCGCTTCTTCATCAGGTGCATGGCGCGGCCGGCCTCGCTCGCGGCGCCCTTGTATTGAGCCATGGTAGCGGCGGCGGCGGCGACAGCGACAGCAGCCCAGCCGGGTCTCAGCTGCAGCAGCAGCGGCGGCGGCAGCAGAACAGTCAGCTGACGCCCGCGCCGTGACGTCAGCCACCAGGAGACGCACGGATACCCCGCCCCTCCGCGCGCCAGCTGGCCCGGAGCGGAACCGCCGCCCGCCCCGCCCCACCCCGCCCCACCCCGCCGGAGACCGCCCCTTACCCTGCATGGACTCCCATCCCAGCCCCCACCGCCGGCTCCTGTGGACCCCGGAGGCTGAATCCCCCAGCCCCTCGCGCTGCCTCGACGTTAACCCGAGCCAAGGCTGGGCCCCTGGTCCCTCTAATTCCTCCTGTTGACCCCAAGGCTGGTCCCCGTGCTGCCTCCCTGCCTGAGGCCAGGCCCTGGTCCCCCGCATTAAGCCGAAAACTGGCACCCCTGTCCCCCTGCTTCACCCCATCCAAGGCTGGCCCCGGGTCCCCTCTGCCCTCTCAAGCCAGAGGCCAAGACCCCCGCTCCCTCTGCTTTCTCCACGTTGACACCCGCCCCCCCACCGCACTCCCCCTGCATTGAGCACTGAGGGCTGCAGTCCTGGTGCCAGCATTAACTCACTGGTAGCCTTAAGCTTTAAGTCAGTTTGGCCCCAGCGTGCTCTGGGTGAGGAATTCCCTGACGACTGCCACCTTTTACAGTCCAGAGTGAAGCTAAGCCAGAGCCCCAACCCAGGCAGCCAAAGCCCTGCCAGGTACCCAGCTTTTGGGAGATAACCGTAAAGATCCAGAGGTTCAGGTTTCAACCGTTTTATTGGGAGGTTTTGTTTTCTGTGAAATACACTAGAGGGTGGGGAAGGGGACACATTCACTTTGCAAGATAAGGGTTTCCCACCACTAAAGGAAAGGTACGGGCAGGGCACACTGGGGTTTGGGTCCATTTTCCCACCTCCTTCTGCTTTGCTCACATTTTTCTCTCAGCAAGTACCACAGAACACAAACACAAAGACAAGAAACAAAACAGCAAATCAACCTCCAACGGGGCCACGCCCAAGCCTTCCCCACTGCCCCAGGCTGGGCAAGGGCTGGGAGGGGCTGGGGCAGCTCACTCTACAGCCCCCAGGCCACACGGGAAGGCTGCAGGCTCAGAAAGGGTGGGTCGAAGTTAATAAATTAGAATAAATTAGGGGGGAGGAATGCAACTTTGTGCTGGGAGGGCCCCTTCTCTCCAACACGCCAAGAGTTGGTGGGGGGAGGTGGGGGCATCTCCAAAGGCCACTACAGTGGGGGTAAGAGCGGTGGGGGCAGAAGTCACCTTTTCCTCCCCGTCTTCCCGAACAGAGCAGAAGAATTAGGGGTGGGGGGAAGAGACACACACAAGGAGAGGAACCCTCTTTTCCTAGGATAAGGAAGGGCCAAGAAAGAGGATGCTATCCAACCCCCCATCTCCCAAACCATCGCTAGGGTTAAGGATTTGGTCAGTGGATCAATGAGGTGGGTGATGGGAACGTGGTGGGGGAAGCAGAGGATGCTGGAGCCCTCTAGGAGAACAGACACAGGCTGGGGCAGCAGGGGCTGGGGGCGGCCACAATCACTGCTCAGCTTCTCCAAAGACGTCGTTCTGTTTACGCTTCATGTTCTCAAAGTCAAAGGCCATGCCAGCCATGCGTTTGTAGATGTCTTTGATGTCGTTGCAGGTTGTCTCAAAGTGTGTGGTGGCATCATAGGAGCAGGAACAGAATACCTGGAAACAGCCAAAGCCCAGCGCCCAGGGTGAGTCAGGCAGGTGCCCTGGGGGGGCGGCCAGGAGCCAGGGCTGGGACAAACTGCTTACCTGGCTCTCACAACCATCATCAATGGGCTCATACAAGTCACTGATAGCCACAAACCTGAGGGGCAGACAGAGGGGAGGGGACAGGCCTCACAACGGGCCATGCCCTTCCTGGTCCCTAAGCCCAGCTCCTGGGCTCCCTCCCTCTCCCTCTCGGGCTCGGCCCAGCCCCTCACTTCTGGTCAATGGGCTCCAACAGCTCCAGAGCCGGCTCCACCTCCTTTTCAGGGTCCGTGGTCTCCACAGTAGTGCTGGCGATGGCGATGTATTTGCCCTGGGCCGCCACGTTGTGTGCATAGGAGATCATGCACACGTAGATGTCTGGCCACAGGAAGAGCTCCGTCAACTCGGGCCAGAGGCGCTGGCCATACGCAGAGATGGGTTCCAGTGGCTGGACACAAGTCTGGCCCACCTGCCCCCTCCCCAGCCCCGCAAAGCAGGTAGCATCCAAGCCGCCACCCTCCCAGAGGGGAAGAGTCCAGGCCACCCAAACCCTAGGGGTCCAAGTTGTGGTGACTACAACGTGGGTCAAATTTTTTCCAGAGAGGTAAGGCAGGGAGCTCCGACACTGATGGGGAGAGAAAGGGTAACCCCAAAGAGAACACCCTAGAGGAAGTTGTACCAGCACCCGGCCTACCTGACTTCCTGTTGACCTGGTTCTGGGGGATGATTATTTGGCAGGAGTTGGCATCGTTGGTGTTCTTGATGGGGTGGCTAAGGATACAGATAATGCGGATAACCTGGCCAGCCTTCCGCACACGGTCCGGGATGTAGCTGGGGTCACAGATCAGCTGCTTGCAGCGGGCCACCTGAGAAGGCACCAGAAATCCTCGCCCGTCAGATCACTCCCTTAGGTAGTCTTGGGGCTGTGTTCACAGCAAAGGCAGGCAGCTCTGGCAGACAAGGCACTCCTCGGAGCCATCACTACTGCCCCTCCTGAATGCATGGCCCTGCCCTGCAGCTCACAGAGGTGGGCCCTGACCCATAGGCTGGGTGCCCGCCCCCGCCTCCCAGATGCCCCGTGATCAAGTACACTTTCTGCACTACAGACATGGCGTGTGGCCTCTGAAATAGCCCCTCACCCACATTCATGGCTCTGAAGACTTCTGAACGCCCAGTTCCCAGCTCCAAGACCCTCGGGGCTGTGCAGCAGGAGACCCGGCAGCACAGTGAAAAGAAGATGACCAAGCCCTGCCTCAACCATGGTGACTGCACTGCACCAGAAAGGCTCACCTCTCCCTCAGATTTCACGCCCACCACCTTGCCATTCTCCATGATGATGTCATCCACAGGTTTGTTCAGCATATACGTCCCCCCATAGATGGCACTCAATCTGTGGTGAGAACAGCCCTGGTGAAGGCCCCTCCCAGGAGAAACGGGGACCAATTCCACTGTCACCCTTCCTCCACCAAGGTGCAAAAAAGGCAGCAGGCAGGAGACGCCGGGATTCATCCCAGCTGTGTCACTGCCGTGAACTCTGGCCCCATCTCAGCGGGCTCTTTCCTCTCAGGAGCTTCTTCTGCCCAGAATACACTGCCAAGGACCAGCAGAAGGGGGCATGAGGGAGCAGTGCTCTGCACCAAGACAGCCTGAAGGACCAGGATGGACTCTCTCAAGATAGGTCACCTCCCAGCGAAGCCCTGACTCAAGGTTCTGGGGCCCTGGGCCCAGTCCTGGTGCTGCCGGGAACTGAGCAAGTCACATTTGTGGAAACTTGGTTCTTCAAGTGTGGAGACTTCTTTTTTTTTTTTTTTTTTTGAGACGGAGTCTCGCTCTGTCGCCCAGGCTGGAGTGCAGTGGCGCGATCTCGGCTCACTGCAAGCTCCGCCTCCCGGGTTCACGCCATTCTCCTGCCTCAGCCTCCCGAGTAGCTGGGACTACAGGCACCCACAACCGCGCCCGGCTAATTTTTTGTATTTTTAGTAGAGACGGGGTTTCACCGTGGTCTCGATCTCCTGACCTTGTGATCCGCCCGCCTCGGCCTCCCAAAGTGCTGGGATTACAGGCGTGAGCCACCGCGCCCGGCAAGTGTGGAGACTTCTGTACTTCAGTGCACTGGGGTTGTGCCCTCATCACCCAAGGATGGAGTGAAGTAAATGAAAATCACGAATTGGAAAGGAGGAAATGCTACCAGGGAAATGCTCAAGGGGGCCATCTCCACTCCTGGCCCTAGTCCTACTCAGCCATGCCAACTGAAAAAACCCACGTCCTCACCTTGCAAAACCCTGGGGCAGCTCGCCCAGGCCGTAGAGCGGGTATAAATATGGGCTCTTGCCATACCGGGCCAGGGACTCACTGTACAACTTGATGCGGTTGATGGTCTCAAGACAGGGCTGGTCCAGGTAGCTGGGGGACAGGGGTTAGGGAAGATGCTCCAGTAGCAGCACCCCTGACTTACCCCCACCCAGGTATCAGGTACCAGGCCAGTCTTCCCACCACCCTGAATGGCCTGGGGAAGATGAGGATCAAATGCAAGGGGGAAATGGAAAGGGTGATAGGTGAGCCTATGGCTGAGTACAAGGAACATGCAGGGCAGGGGGACAACAGGCAGGTGTGGGGAGGGCAGGAGGTGGGCCGGGCGAGGGGGCTGCCGCCACACCAGCTTCCCCTCACTCATCAGTGCGGTAGAGTGCCAGGGCGTGGCCAGTGAAATCGATGACATCCTGGCCCAGATCAAACTTCCGGTAGACATCACGCATGCTGGTAGTCTGGGGGTCAACACCCTCAAAGGTCTTGGGGTCATTCTCATCGAAGTTTGCCACAAACACCAGGAACTTGCGGAAGCGCCGTTTCTCAAACATACCCATCAGATCTAAGGAAGGTGGCGGGAGGAGGTTCTGCACCAACGCAGCACAAAACTCTCCATCTCAGCAGGGCAGGCACCCCCACTCCCAGCCCAGCTGTCCTGTGACCTTAGGTTAACCTCTCCACCCTTTTTAGCCTCAGTTTCCCCACCAGGATGAAGAGGGGATTGGCCTGGATGGACTCTAAGGGCTTTCCTGGCTTGGACACTTGGGGATGTCTTGAGGATCCAGTGGAGCCCCTGCCAAAGGCTCAAGTTTTCTTTGTTGTTGTTGTTTTTTGAGATGGAGTCTTACTCTATCGCCCAGGCTGGAGTGCAGTGGTATGATCTCGGCTCACCACAACCTCCACCTCCCGGGTTCAAACCATTCTCTTGCCTCAGCCTCCCGAGTAGCTGGGATTACAGGTGTGTGCCACCACACTCAGCTAATTTTTTGTATTTTGAGACGAGACGGGGTTTCACCATGTTGGCCAGGCTGGTCTTGAACTCCTAACCTCGTGATCCACCCGCCTA